CCTTTCTTCCTTATTTTGGGTTAAAAAATAAAAAAAAAAAAAAAAAGAATCGCAGATTTTTATTGTTTTGTTTTGCTAGTCGATGGGCTGGGACTTAAATTGAAAACAACAACAACAACAATAAAAATAACTGATTATTTCTCTTTATTATTGAAATCCGTTCAAACATTTAGTATATGTTGTCTGCTCTTAGATTTTTACTCTAGTGCGTTTGCAAAGCGACTCTTCGTTTCCTGCAAGATATATAAGTACCGTGGGGTCATTACAACTTAAAACGAAAACTTGATGTTTAACATGAACAAGAATGAAATGTTTTGTCATATAAAGTGCAGGTTAAAGATAAGGGCACATGGCGTAGTACTACTATGCTCACGCGTTACGCATGCGCAAATCGTGCTATACCCGTATAAATACGCTTACAGTCATCTCAAATGCGCCTTTCTTGTTCATAGACATACCTTTGCATTGTGTGACGTTGTATTGCCGTAAAACGAAAGGAAATGTCTTTTAATATGATGTGCTATTACAAAAGATGTGAACAAGCACCTGAGAGATCAAAAACTGAAATCAAACCCAAGCAATGTTGTCTTTGTATTTCCTGCCAAGCGCCATTTTGGATCATATGGCGCATGCTTGTTACCACTGTTATCTTCCTGCGATTGATCTTTAATTCCGACATGTCATAAAGGGATCGTAAGGATATAAGTGGAAACATCAATTACGGTTGCACACATAAAATTCAAATTTAAAATCAACTGATGTTTGTTTTGATTTATTTGTTATTGTTGCTTTTTTGTTTATATTTCAATGTTTGTCTCTCTTTCGTCTGTGAGATTGTGTTACACTAAATAAAAGTTGAATTGAATTGAGGATCATTTTCGACATTTTATAATTAATAACAGTTCATTTCAACAGTGGAGACGTGCTTCAACAACAAAAGGATAAAAAACGACACGGCGTGACACTGATCTTTGATATTTGTAGTCGTCACATTCCCATCTTCAGCTCCCAAACAAAAGCCATTAATATTTCCCACTGACAAAAGCAATGACACGATATCTGTTTTTTCGTTTATTAGAGTTTCCCTACTTTTTATCATACCATTGATTACAATCAGCAGCTATCTTCGAGTTGTCATCCTTCATCCTCATAAACGAGCCACACGCTTTCGGATCGGCACCATTGCTATCGGCAGCCGTAGTCAAATGGGGAGTATGTCTCTTGTTTTTGCTGCAGTAGAATCTCAACTGAGTGAAAGACAAACGTGTTCTCAGTTCCTTCATGGCATTTGCCGAGAGTAACAACAACTTGTTGTGACGATTACTTATTTCATGGTATGATGATTCGTCCGAATACCGTAGCGAGGATGGGTTGTCGACGACTTCGTTGGAGACCAGAAGCCAACCCCCTGGAAAAAAGAAATGAAATGAATTGAAATTCTTGATTTTTCAAAATGATATTACATTCCATTTATTATAAAACTGCAATTGAAATAGTTATTGGTTTAAAAAAAAAGCAGCGTAAAATACACAAACGTCAGGTTACGATATCATTTATTTGTGTCATCTTAACAAAAATTGTGAAGATTTCTAGAGATTTAGTATATGGTCAATATTCTATTAAGGTACCTCTAAAAATATGCATCCCACAATGCTGAGAGTTAATGAGCTAACCTTAAAGCTTATCGTCGCAAGATTAGATTGAGTGTTTC